ATTCCTTAAATCAAACAAAAAAATCTATGCTATTGGGGTAACTGCAAACTCTTCTTTTTCTAGTTAGAGCAGAGACTCTGGGGTGGTATGTTAGCTTGCCAACAAAAGAGTCTTTCATTTCTAATAATCTTAGACAAGACAGACGATGAACAAATCGACCAATAGAATGTATTTTCATCGTCGTATTTTCTTTGTACTTTACCTATTGAGAGTTAAAGCCAAATCCAAATCATAGAAGCATCGACAGCAATTCTTCTCCAAAATTAAATCTTTCTAATTCAACGACGTGCATGGTAACAAGAAGTATTATCTGTATTTAATTTCTTAATACTTGAATGCCGAAAGCCTTTTTTATATATCTTGCAGTTAATCTTCATTGACATTTAATAGTTTGTAGAATATTTTCTATGTATTTTTGATTGATCCGACTGCTCCTTATATTTTTTTCTTTCCAGAGATACAGGTTGTATATTTTCTTGGGTTTTAATCAAATTGTAGACGACATGCAAAGAGATCATGATTATGACCCAGCTTGCGTCACACAATATGATATTCTCTAACGGAAGTTCAAGTATCGGTTATCCTGGTGTCACCGAATAAGCAAATATCTACAATATACAAATGGATCTCAAAAGATTAATCTAAATTATTCGCTACCCGGAACTATAAATTATTGTAAAATCGATATCACAGCAAATTGTTATCATTTTGTTCGATGCACTTATTTAATAAGTTTAGTAATAATTATGAAAATCTGTGAAAGACATAGTCTTAATAAAATTATCAAACAATATTACGTCTATAATTACAATATTTATAAGGTCTAACAAAACCCCAATGCATTCATTACATTAGAAGTTAAGAAAGAAAGGCAAAAGATACCAAATGGACATTCACACTGATGAGTCGAAAATAAACTGACAACGCCATGGCAAAAAAAAACGAAAAAAAGACCAAAATAAAAACAACAGTATACAAAACACAACATAGAACACTAAAGACTAAGCAACACGACCCCTCCCCAAATACCGAGGGTGATAGCAGATTCTCCGGAAGGGTAATCAGATCCTGCTCCACTAGTTGCATCAGTCGTGTTACTCATGTAAGAACAAACCTAGCAATGAGATTTCCAAATAAAACCCGGCATGTCTGCATATATATTCACCCCGAATATTTAAACTGACAACTACGTCCATTTCGGCCTTCAGCACGAGTAATTCGACCTCGAGCGTGCTTTTTAGGAGGTCATTCTAGAAACACAAGTATGGTGGTATGGTGGACTAAAATCAGATTGCAAGTTTTTTACAATTAAAATCATCAATCAAATGTTTTTTTATACATTTGTATAGGTAATACAAAGACGAATGAATGGTTTGGTAGACTTTTATAGAAGCTGGCAGGCTTACAAGAAAGGATTTGGATCAGCTTCTACCGAAAACTGGTTAGGTATGTTCACGTCTAAACAGGTTTAAACTAAGTACATATCATCACATTGAATATTCTCTCCGATAATTCTGACAAGTAATTTCAGTTTATCTGATGATACTATTTCTTACATCTTCCTCTCATGATGGTTCTGCCAGATCAAAACTATTTCTGATAAAAAATTATCCTCAAAAAGTTTAACAGATGAAACAAGTGATTCCACCAGTTTCAAAACTGGAACAGTTGTATTTACATAATATTTGTGAAGATCTGTGTGTACACTGTCAATTGGTCTTACTGACAGACGATATCTTAAAACAGTTGAACAGTGTACACAAATTTAAATTCCCAAATAATTTACGGAGTATAACTTTTTCTATTATCATTACAAATTGATTGATTCTTATTTGCTCTATTTTTCCTTTACTGTAAATATCTTAAGCCTTCCAAAATGAAGTGAATGAAAGATGTTAAGTAAGTTACAAAAGACGCCTACAGCAAATACGGTATAATATTAACCAAAAACAGAAAATAAAGAAAATAAAAAAAACATATTAGTATGTACCTGTACGTATTTTCTCATCTAGGATCCGGTCATCGCTTTCACTACGGAATAGGGTAAGCTCATTGCGGCAGGCAATACGGTAACCTATATTTTCCTTTTTTCCTTTTTTCTGCGGTGGATAATTGTCTCATTGGCAGTCTCACCATATCGTGTTACTTATAATAAACTGCAAAATTTCTTGTTACATATTGTAAATTTAAATCTTCATACCGAATCAATTGGAACTTTCTTTTTTTCATAACTTTTTAGCAATAGTGTGTACCGCTGCTAATCCCCGAGGGAATCATCAGCTTGGTACATACATGATTAATAACAAATTGATCTTGAAATCTCTTGACTGATATACATTTTTTTAGAACCTAGATTTTTTACCCTAGCAGGGAAAGTTGGTCATTGTTGGATTTGACTATTCTTTTATTTGGTCCCTTTTGTTCATTCAACATATCACATTTTTTAGTACGTTCCTGATAAAGGTAAATAGAAAAGTGCATCAGACACACTAAAATGTATGCAACATTGTTTCCTTTTTAAGCTGTTTGACTGCTATTCCTCAACAGTATCATCAACTGTGTTGTCATTGCTTCAATACTGACATGATTCCTAAGATATATTTCTTAAAATTTCAATCAGGCAAAGTTTTACTTAATAATAGCCACGACAATGACCAAGTTTATGAACTGTTATCAAATTTTATGTATCAATTGAGGTAGTAGAGCACGAATGAAATAAGATGTTTAACATTTTGAGTCGAGCACAAATTTGAAAGATATATATCCATAATTGAGGCGTTCAGATCTCCATCAAATGAATTTAGCTTGATGTTGATAAAAACGATATATGGCTTATTTCAAACAGACAGCAACCAACTAACACATTTAAACGGGGTAAGACATGTTGGCTAGTTTCTGTTTGACGAAAAAAAACATAAACATAAAAACAGCATACAATTATTAATATACTAAACAAGAGTTATGAAAATGAAAGTTGGGCAATAGACATATAACTAGCTTTAAATTTGATATAAACAGGTAATGACAACATTCATTTTATATCACTATCAAGTGCACACGAAATGGTGGTTGTTAGAAGACTTTGAAGGTGCGACGCGAACAGCAAACTACTCTTATGTATCCATTGCTGACGAAAGACATTTGTATCGCTTGTATGTGTCAGAGTATACCGGAACTGCAGGTACATTTACTATTGTTCTTACGTTTTCCTGAGTTTTCCTGGTTTATGTATTGATACGTAACGTATTGGTTTTGTCTGAAGCCACCTCCAACCACCTTCCCCGATTACAAACACACTCCTTTCGCCTTTTATTTGTCTATCTCATTATCGCTTTTATATCCCCCTTGTTAAGTTACTTCGTTGTAAGCTTCATCACGTCTGTTATTTTTTTTTTTTTTTTTTTTTTGCTCAGTTTTAGACCTTTCTTTGACAATTAAAAACTAGACAATAATGCTCAAATGGGACATCAATTTAATTGATTTGTGGATGAAAAATAATGAATAGGGCTGGAGCGTTCTGAAATTAGGTAGATCTACTCGAAATGTCTATTTGAAACAAAAGAGGCGCATGCAGTCCTTTGTCGGGTATTAAATGCAGTTCTAAAATCCAAGATGTCTTTCCTAAAGGATCCATAGAATTTGAGTAGGTTTATTTTAAACAGGTTTTTAATTTTCTATTCAACTGGTTGGCTGGAAGCTAGCTTAATAGAAATACAATTGTAATTCCCTCTAGGAGATTGATGATTTCAATGCACGTGCCTGTTTTTCCAAATTATGCTCATATCCTCAAATTGTTTAACTAACTAAAATTTGAACTGTTTCTATTGCCAACAGTTCATTCACAGGTAGGCAATGAGTGGTTTGATACAAAAAGTGCTGGAGATAGTAAGCAATAGTTTAGAATAACAATATGCAATTATAATTTGGACGATTTCTTACTTAGGATTGTGTTGCAATCCTTTAAAATTTGATGTAATTTATTAACAGGTAAAGAACAGAGCTCGGTTAACAGATAATAACTGCCGTTGTTTTTTAAAATAGTAATTAGGTCCAAAATATTTGTATTGGTGAAACGAAATTTTCTCTGTTTGCGATTTATTTTACGAACGGGTTTTACGAACAGTTTTAGAAACTATATCCAAAATGTAATTCAATTATTTTCTGCAATCGTACAAATTTTGAATGAGATTCTCCAGGCTACTTATTTAGTAGAGTAAAAAGTACAGAAATTTATCGCATATTTTGTTTTGATAAATTTTACGCATTGTGGGGGCGAGCTTGTACATGTATCTACATCTACATATAAGGAGTAGGGAAAAATAAAATTGAGAATGGAAATGGGGAATGTGTCAAAGAGACAACAACCCGATCATAGAGCAGACAACAGCCGAAGGCCACCAATGGGTCTTAAATGCAGCGAGAAATTCCCGCACCCGGAATCGTCCTTCAGCTGGCCCCTAAACAAATACGTATACTAGTTCAGTGATAATGGACGTCATACTAAACTCCAAATTATACACAAGAAACTAAAATTAAAAATGATACAAGACTAACAAAGGCCAGAGGCTCCTGACTTGGGACAGGCGCAAAATGCGGCGGGGTTAAACATGTTTTTTGGGACTATCTTTAATAACTGGTTCAGAGTACGAGCCAATCTGTACACGACAAACAGTGCATGTACACCTCGTAAATATAAAACGATTAAAGACACATCCTATTGGCCAGTGTAAATAAAACACTGTAGGTCGGGAAATCGTTACTATTTTTAATTTGTTTGTAATTCATTTTTTTATTTTTATTTTTTTTGCCGTTCGATTATTTTGACGAGATATTGTCTAAAAAAACTAATAGGTCAACTGAAAAACAAGGCCTATATTCATAACCTTGTCGTATCGTATGTTCTTATCAGCAGATTTATATACACGTATATTGTAAGTATACATTGTCTGTGAGATTTCTACAGTATGGCATTGTATTGTAGCTTTTTATTTGTGTGGTTTATGCTTGCTACATGTATCAACACAGAATCACAAATTATCAACGAGAAGCGACTTTTATTGACTGACCCTGATTATGCTGATAACAAGCAATTGCAGAGGGATATTCAGTTACTGAAGGCAACAATGAGTCAGTTACAAACTACTGTTAATAAGGTCAGGATAGACAGATTCAGAGTCAGGCTTCAGTAATAACAACTTTTCAAAATAGTAAGTTTTTATTCATCATGTATTTACTTAATATATATATTTATCTATTCGTATATTTTTTTTCTTACTTCTCAACATTGTCATTTGAAAATTCGAAAAATGATAAAATTCTTCAAAATTAGAACAGGGGTACTTTTCAACAGAAATATCACTAGATTTTCTTTCACTTTAAATACAAAATCATGTTCTCATCTAAAAAAATATGGGGTGCACGTGCTTGACGTCTCAATTTAATTTCCAACGTCAGTTGTATTTTGAACGTCGCTGTAGGTAGGGACTCTGATGGAACGTCACGTCAATAAACTCATATCTGCTGTAATGCATAATTGGTGTTATTGACGTTGGTAAAAATTACAAAAAAAAACTTTTTCATTTGATGTCAGTTGAAAATAAAATATCACAGGAAACTTGAATTTTAGCTCTTCAAACTAGGCTTATAGTTATATACTTTACCTTTTTGTATCTATATTTCATAACAATGTGAAAATCGGTAATATTATCCACAACTTTTTTTTTCGCTATCGTATGCAACAATTCAAGTTGATATCCTATCGGGACCTAGCGCTATTTATAGAAACGTAAACAGGCATCAATATTTTGCATGCATCACAGGGCTGCCAAGTCTCGCAGTTTATTTAACGTGAGACTCACGCATTTTCATGCTTATTTGGTGGCATTTTCCTTTGATCTATTGTTTTTTCTCTTTGATCTTTATGATTTTAGCCAAATCTCACGCATTTGCATTATTAAAAGTTGGCAGAACTGGCATCATCCTGAAGTTGTGAACAGTAAAATTTTGTATGTATCTTAATCCAATTTCGTCAATAAGGTGTAAAATTTTGAAGAAAATCAACCAAATTTTGAGTTTTCCACCGAAAAGATACCCCATGTTCACATATTTTTCAAGGATCCATCGCTCCTTTAAAGAAAAAATATATTATTATAAATGAATTCAAACAAAATATGCAATACAAGCGACGTAAAATTTTTCTATTTTAAAAATTAGAATGGTCCAGGTTTTGTAAAAAATGTTGAAAAAAATAAACCATCCCCCCCTTTTTCCAAAAAACAAAAACAAAAACAAAACAAACATAAAACAAGACGAAAAGAAAAGTCAAAATGATTTAACGAAAAATTAAAATGAAAATAAGCAAAACAAGCAAAAAAGAATTAACAACATCATGTTTTATCTTAAAATAATATGGATACAAACAAAATAAAAATAAGGAGATGTGGTATGATTGCCAAAGAGACAACTATCCATCAAAGTTCAAATGAAGTGGATGTAAGCAATTATAGGCCAACCGTACGGCCTTCAACAATGAGAAAAAATAACATACCCTATGGTCGGCTATAAAAGCTTGTTATTGATTGTCCTCAGTTATTACCATTCAGTATTGATTAAATTTGAAGGAAACAAGTATAATATCTATAATAACCATTTGATTCAACATTGAATTTGTGTCACGGAACACATACTACATGAAACACGTCTTCTTTAAAATATTACACTTGTACCAAATTGAACTGATCTTTATTTAAATCGATCTTAAGAAGACCAGTTCGCGTTTACATTTGCACAAGCAAGATCGATCGAGATCGATCTTATTTAATCTAGTGCGTTTACACTGCAGCATAAACAGAACCGGTCTGACCTGATTACTTTTCATTTCGTAAATGAATAATCGTAAAAATAGAATTGAATAATAACGAGTGCATTTCGCGCGGACTATCAAACACTGCAAAATTATGGATCATTGGAATTTCGTATGAAGTTATCAATTATCTTTTTGGTTCACACGTTACAAGTCAGTAAACAAAGAAATGCGAGAAAACTATCACCTAAAACCAAACTGTCAATGCCTTTAAAGATGAGGATTTGCAGCAAAGAACTAGAATTTATCGATTCAGAAGATAGATTCAAAAAACGGCGGAATCCTTAAAATAACTAAAATGATTTGTATCTGAAATACAAGAAAGAGCGTTACTTTGGAGGTTAGTGTGGCGTCCATTTCGATGAACTAGTATTCATTATTATTGAGGGGGCAGCTAAAGCCCGCCTCCGGGTGCGAGATTTTTTAACTGTGTTGGAGACCCATTCGAAATGGTAGTCTTCGGCTTTTTTCTGCTCTTCGGTCTGATAGATGTCTCTTTGTCCATCCCCGTTTCCATTCTCTTTATTGGTTTTGGTAAAGTATGCTATTCATCTTCATTGTTGTGGTACAAATGTACATGTGCATACTTGTAACAATCTACCTACGTTGCATCTATGACCCATAATTAGGTGATATGTTTTTAAAGAAATGTCATAATGTTGTGGTTAGACCTTCAAAGTATACACAAGAAGATACCATACTCTAAATATTGATAATGATGAAGACTCTTTGAAAAATTGTCCGGATGTCTAATATATTCAGGGAAATTTACCTCTATTTTTTCAGAAGAAGATACCAACATAATATAATCTGAACATTGCCATATTAAATTAGATTAATTCATAACATATAATGAAACTGTTCATATTTTAAGTCCATATTTTGAATTGAATGTATGAAAGAGTGCCTGTACATATATATGTTACGTATATACAGGCCTGTGTTATTCTCATTTGCTGTACATACAAGACATGTACAGTAGCATGTCTTCATCCTTGAACCCCAAAGGTGACTGGTGGTATAGAAATATGGTTTTCCTCCGACCACAAGTAAAACCGTTGGCAAAGTGGAGCATCCGTTTGGTTGTTTGGGATGTGTGAATACGCAACCACGTCCGGTTAGAATAGGAACGAATTGAGGCCTCATGAAGAGAGAGTACCACGCTCCGGGCCTCCCTGCACGTTAAGAATTTTTGCAGCAACTCTTTTATGGGTCCGTGGGTAGCCTGATGCAAGGGAGAAAATTCATGCCCTATCCATTATACCCACATTTTCGGCTGGTGACTTGAAATTCCCCTCATTTTCCCCGGTCGATTTCTATAACCGAACCACGCTATTACATCTATTTATATTTTGTTCTCATCCTGAATGTGTTTGAAATATTTGCCACTGGACATGAAACAAACTGTCAATGAAATTTGTATCTTAGCTCATGAATGAAAGGAGATGTAAAAAGTAACAAGACAGCAACGTAACCACAAAAATAATTAGAAATAAAAATTAAAAACACAAATCCAGGCTCGTATCATATTTATTATGCACATAATTTGTTTTTCATATTTACTGCAAATACTGCAAATTATAACTCAAAGAGTTAAAAAGAAAGACACGCAGCTTTGCTTCAAGTTATGATTTTGTATGCTTAATTTATTATTACTGTCTGAAATCTGGAAATCTTTAAAGTTGATGTACAGGCTTTCACATGGAAAGGTGGATTGAAACTAATTTTCTTTGATTTTATCATAATACAAAATAGTAGAAATAGGGGAGGGTGTCAGTTCTAACCCTCTGGACCTTAGACAAACCGACTTGTGCACCCAACAATGGTAGCCTTATTAAACACTTAGTACACTTCTAAAACAAGAAACTGCTATTTGTGTAAATCATATGGTCAAATAATAAGTACATGGAAATTAAAAATTCAAAACATTTGAAAATTTCGTTTTTTTATTTTTGGTGATAACTAGTACAGTTTCCCGTATTTTCCTGTGCGAAATAAGATTTTCACGTACAATGGTCATACGCTATAAAAATAGTTAGTTTTTGCATCCTTTCTGCCATTTTTGTGTATGATGTGTGCTGCGGTAGTTAAATTACTAAGTTTTTAAGTGTGATTTTATTGTAAATTGGAATGTTGGCAGACAAAGGTATATATTCATGAATATAAGGCAGATGCTTGGGGTCAAAGGTCAAACATAAAAATAAACTCTTGTCCTAGTATATTTCTACCACCTAATAGTATATATTTCAAATAATAAATCCTTTTAGTGTATTATTTTCATTAAAAAAAATCCCACAGAGTCCCTACTATAGGTCAAAAATTTACATTTCTGTAGGATTTGCTCGTCATGAAATTAAATAAAATCTTTTTAACAAAGGCTCTTGGGGCATGGACCCCCTTGTTTTAATATTTCTGTTTTTTGTGTTCGTTAATTATTTTTTTTAGTAAATACTCTTTAATATTTTAACCTTTTTTCTCTAATTTGATATGTGCTTGCTTTTATCCATACGATATTACAATAACAGTAGTTTATATAATTATGCTGCCCCTTTAATCGTATTATCCACAAGACAGGAATGTTCGAAAATATAAATAACGCACATCTGTTCGTCTGCGGTACATTTTATGCTACATATTTCTATTAAGTCATACACATTATGACATGTATAAACTCAAAAAAGACTTACCTTTTTGTTTTTGTTGATGGTTTGTATGAATAATCACTTTGCTTCCTGCGAATTCAAATTTTCAAGTGCTGGTTAAATACAAATGCACTCCACGAAATCATGATGGTCCAATAAGAATTCAAAGAATTCCTGTATTTTTTGTTTTTGTTTTTGTTTTTGGAGACTGAGTCTGTTGACAACCTTTCGAACTTACAACTCGTTTTCAAAGCGGTCCTGTAGAACACGTATGAAAAGGAGTCATTTTCATAATAAGCAATCTTCAAATCAAAGTGACTGTTTTTCGAACGTGTACTACAGATTCGCTTTCAACGAAAAAAAGGTCTACATTTTCCTATATGAATCGAAATAATTCTTCCGTTTCATGCTCCATACTGGTTTTAACATGGATAGGCATTATATTTGTCAACATTCTTTGTTCATTTTCTTTTAATTTGTAGCATCTATTCTATAGTCTGAGGGAGTCCTCAAAACAAACAGACTATGTTCCTTATGATTCTGTTGACAGTTTTGACTTTTAACTCTTTACACTACACTTCCACACAATCTTATCAAACAAAAGTTTTCCTATTTAATTAAATGGTCGTTTGGTAAATCCGAATACAAATATATTTGCTGCAACTATTCTTCTCTAATGAGAAAGGTAAATATGCAAGATATACTTAATGGAGGTGTGATGAGATGATTGAAGCTGTTAATTTTCTCCTTGATAATATTTATGTACGTTTCTCCAATAAAGTTTATCGACAGATTGTAGGTATTCATATGGGCACAAATTGCGCCCCTTTAATAGCAGACTTGTTCTTGTACTGTTATGAATCACAGTTTATGATCAAACTCACTAAAGACCCGTCTAAATTGCATTTAATTGATAAATTCAAAAATACTTACTGATATTTTTTCGTTAAATAATCAAGAATTTTCTTAATATACTGCCGAAATTTACCCAAAGGAACTAACTTTAAATAAATCAAATATAAACGGTAATGACTATCCTTTCCTAGATTAAGATATTTCAGTTTTACACAGAAAACTCTACACTAAAAGAGGGACGAAAGATACCAGAGGGACAGTCAAACTCATAGATCGAAAACAAACTGACAACGCCATGGCCAAAAATGAAAAGACAAACAGACAAATAATAGTATAGATGACACAACATAGAAAACTAAAGACTAAGCAACACGAATCCCACCAAAAGCTGGGGGTGATCTCAGGTGCCCCGGAAGGGTAAGCAATTCCTGCTCCACATGTGGCACCCGTCGTGTTGCTTATGTTATTAAAAATCCGGTAAATAGTCTAATTCGGTAGGTCACATTCGTGAAAAGGGAATGGTATTGTAGTTAGGACATACGGAACATATCCGATATCATCTGTTAAACGGTTAAACCTTACGACAAAAGGGACGATATTTCCGTTACCACAAATTACTTAAAACCTTTACTAAATTCTCCCATAGATATAAAGATTTGGTTTTGAAGTTTGGTTGTACATGTAGAAAACTTATTTCAAACGGAATAGCACATCCTAATCTTTACGGAGATATTGTTTTCCGAGCCAGGAAATTTACAAACTATCCGGGTAAACTTATCGATCCTTTAAATAAACTTATTCTAAAAGGTTACCAATTCAACACTGTAATTAGATCTTTGAATATTGTTTTATTGGTATTGATATTGATTTTGTTATCAGTACATTAATATCAAACTAAATATTATTTTTTTCATATATATGCACATTCACGGCTCTACAATCTGTCGATACCTGTATCTTGGCATTGCACAAGGTCATGTTTTTTTCTGACTGTTAATGACGTCTTTTCACAAAATCCATTGGATGTTGGGTGTGTACTGATTAATATTTTAGTCTTAGATGCATGATTTTTTTTTATTAGTTGTTATTGGCTTTAAACTAGCTCTCAGTAACTGTGAGTACTCTCAGATCTGTACTTAGTGTCTTTTTGTTTTGGGGATGTAAAAGTACCCTGCCACGTCCACTCTGTTTTTTGTAAGATGTATTTCTATTTGTATACATCTGGTGAGTTACGCCTCTTTCAACTGATTTGTTATAGTTTGATCTTATGATGTACTGTTACAGCACTGTCCCAGGTTAAGGGGGAGGGTTTGCGCCTTCAAACTGGTTTAACCCCGTCACATTCTGTATGTGCCTGTCCCAAGTCAGGAGCCTGTAATTCAGTAGTTACCGTTTGTTGCTGTGTAACATATTTGTTTTTCGTTCATTATTTTGTACATAAAATAGGCCGTAAGTTTTATCGTTTGAATTGTTTCACGTTTGTCATTTCGGGGCCTTTTATAGCTGACTATGCAGTTCATTGTTGAAGACCGTACGGTGACCTATAGTTGTTAATTTCTGTGTCATTTGGTCTCTTGTGGAGAGTTGTCTCATTGGCAATCATACCACGTCTTCTTGTTTTTATAATCTAACACCAAATAAAAAATAGTTCCTCCTGTCTGCTCAGATTATGATAGTGTTCATCTGTATATTTTATAGATCCATCTGGAAGTATTTACGTTAGATGGGGAAGAAAAGACTGCCCAACAAATTCAACCGAAATGGTTTACTCTGGTAAGATTAAATACAAAAGAAAAGCACATGTCATTGGGTTGTTTGTATTGTTGGGTGCTGTTTAATTGACGTATATCCAACATAGCCTTCTATTTATACAAAGTGGTGGGTTCATTATTGTATTTATACGCATTTCCTGTTGCTTTTATTCAGGCCGACTAGTGTTTCTCCTTTGCATAAAGTAATGTTTATACATGATTTACATGCAAACTAAACGTCTTCACGAGGCACGCTCTACAACAAAGATTCCATATGCATGAAGAGCAGCCAAACCAAAACATCTTCCTTCAAACAAATAATACGATAAGATGCTGTATATAATTAGGAGACGACAATTTGAATTTCTATGGAGGGGTGGACGTTTTTATGTTAAAGGAATATTCCTTTCCACCTGTTGCTAGTAACTTTAAAGGATTATTTATTTCGTGCTAAAAAAAAAATTCATTCTTGTTCATAATGAACAACTTCTTCCTTCATGTCCTGCATTTCGCTGAACAGAATATTCATTTGTCTTGAATATGGCCATGTTTCCCGTTATTACCTGGCCAGAGTATTCTTTTTCATAATCCTGTCCTCAAACCCTCCAATTTCCCAGAATATAAAATGGTCATCCCCTTATATTTTGATAATATCAAATCAACGCTTAGTTACGTAAGCATGCAGTTAAATATACATCTCAATTGGTTAACTATGGTCACCTACCATCCACCAGTAGACCCATAGCAAAGGGTGCCTCCGTTTTGCGTGGTGTATGTAGTATCTGTTCTGAAGTTGAATTTTAAGTCCAATGCCTAGTGTAGAAAGTTTGAGTGTTGCACTCTCTGTACGCTATGTAAAAAACATTTGCAAAAAAACTCTTTGTGGGGACCGTAGTTTGCCTGTTGCAAACTTTTAGATAAAATGTCTGCCCCTATCTAAAATATACTCCTTTTGAAGCGACAGTTCATCTTGCACGTGTTCTTACCAGTAGAGCACTTTGCAGAACATATTTATTGATTATTAATGGGTTCTCGATCTGAATTTTCTTGAAATATTTGCCACTGAAAGGAAAGCAAACAAATGTTAATCAATCAATATTAAATATTCTACAATGTAAACGTTAATTCGTTCATATGGAATGAAAGCAGATTCAACGATAGGGAGAAACAGATTTGGTCTACCACCTAATCTGTACTTCCTCTTATAATAAAATATTTTGAGTATCCAAATGTATTTCGATATTCACATGTATATGAGGTACACGATTAAACGACTATTAACAAAGTTCTTACATTCTAGGCATAGGACCTTTATGTCCATATACCTCTTTACCTTATGGAGGGTATTAATAAGCCTTGTTTTGGTTATACATGTAACTTATTTCACATATCAACGTACAAATATACAATTATTTGAACAATATAAAACATGTAAATACTGTATGACTGACTGAGTGAAGTTATTCCGTTTCTCATTTTATAGTATATATTTTGGTTTCATTTGTTTCTTTTCTGTTTATATTGACAACAAATTGAACAATTTGAAGCAATTATTTTAAAAATTTGATTCGAACGACTAAAACTTTGCAGGTATTGGTGCAGGCGGCCATTACTCTAATTCAGGACGAAACACGAATCCAATTTGTGTTCCGCATGACCCTAATCTTGGACCGGTTAGTCATGAATCATATTTCGGGACAGTATTCGGAATGGAGTACGAAACCAATGATTTTGGTAGTAACCTACAAGATAAAGATGTACCATGCGCAGTATGTCGTGTAAGCCATGCGTCTACAGTATTAATGATTCCCGGTAAATCACATTGTTACTCTGGCTGGAAAACCGAATATAGTGGAAATCTAATGTCTGGACATCATGGCCATGCTGGTGCGTCTCAGTATGTATGTGTTGAGAGTAGTCCAGACGTATTGGAGGCTGGTTCACGCGATGATAATGGATACCTTTTGTATGGAGTCAAGGCGTACTGTGGATCGCTCAAATGTCCTCCCTATGTACAAGACACCCTGTTCAAATGTGTGGTTTGTTCGAAGTAGAAACATCCGTATTAAAAGATAATGTTTTTAATGAAAAAAAGAATAATTAAATTTACATTTCTGGTTTTGTGCTCCTAAAATATAATTTTACATTATAGATGATTATATATTAATATTCAGTTGAGTTTTATTTTAACTTACCCGGCACAACGGGCCATTGTGAGCTTTTGTCATCACTTATCGTCTGTCCTCCGTCATCGTCGTTTGTTAAGATTTTTAAAATTATCTCCTCTTAATCTTCTCGATCAAATTGAACAAAAGTTGGACATTATAACCTTTGGGCTATCTAGATTAGGAAAGAAAATCTATCTGATGATCATGTCGGTCAACCAATATGACTGCAAAGGCTTACAATAGAACAAAGGGGTCAAATATAAGTATTGACCATACTTTTGAAAACCGTTACATATAGATGGAGGAAATCTGACAGGTGATAAAAATTCAAAATGCCAAGACCTATTATATTGTCTAGTTTTACTGAAATAGTAAAACGACTCCTTATAAGAGTTATCGCCCGTGTATGATGATTTTAACCTTCTTTTTTTCGTTTTTGCCGCTTGTCTTGAAAATTATAATAGATAAAGAGAAACACGGCAGAATTTATCAGCAAGACAAAGATCTACAAATACACTCCTTATGAAAGGTATTGTACTTTTTAATATAATTTCTATGAATGTATAATGCGCAATTAATTATGTAATTTATGTAAGTTGTAATTGAATTTGAAGTGTTTAAGTCAGATTTTAGCATCAAGTAGTAAGTATGCGAATTTAATCTTCTTTCTTAAGTTTTATTTGGATGTAAGAAAACGTTGCGCATCATTCAAAATATGTTTCGGTCAACACTTTTACATCCCAATAAAGAAGGTTTCGAATTAAATCCGGATAATGACGATTTCAGTGTGCATGATATTTGTTTCTAGAACAACCTGTTATGGGTATGCCCGCGTACAAACATTTCGAAAGCCGAAATTTTGTATTCCATGAGTTGTAAATTATTGTTAACGTTAAGCGATAAATACATTGTTCTTTCTAAAGCAGTGAGAAATAAAGACAATAATATTACATTCATATGGACTTTTATCATAGCTATGTAGTAAACAAATATGGTAGATTGCAGTGAGTTCGCCTCCTGTAATAGAGAGTTAAAAAGATATCGTATAAACTGTTGATGTAGAAGAGTAAAATGACTCTTTCCTTTGAAATTATTTTAGTATTTGTTTGCGTGTGGAAGTACTTTTCTTCGTAATAACAATTTTCCTGGTTTTTGTAAGCAGTATTTATTCGTTGGGTTTGATTGATTGATTGATTCTTGAATGCCTAACGTCCAGTAACAAATATTTCATGCGTGTTCAGGACGGGAAAAAATTTAACAATAAATACAAAAGGTAGGTCCTGTAAAAGGGGCCGTCTGAAATGTCGCGGGGTTTGAGGATTAACACATTAAAACTCAATTGAACATGTAAGTTGCTTAGAGTAATAGACGTGTTAGGAAAGTCAATACGATTTTGACGCTGATGTTAAATACCAATGCCACTACAGGCTACAGTGGGGACCATCTCAAAAAGCACAGATAATCATTCATTATAGTTACCTGTATGGGTTTGTTTGATAATATAATATTGAGATGATTTTTAAACAATAAAATAGTAACGATTTATTCCGCAATACACGGACGAGGATCCAGCAAAACAACACGAACATTATTCTTGCATTGTGTCATAGTAGGGATCGATTAAGTTTAAGATCGTTGTTCCCCCATGTCTTACTATTTTTTTGAACGACTACAAGGAAAATCTACAAAGTGATCAAAATAAATGAATAGAAAAAAACACAGGAATCAAATCACATTCGAATCCGATTTTTTACTCTACATCAATCTTTGTTCAAAACGTTCGTTTATTTGAAATTTATTTAAAAAAAAATTGTCATGTCGGGGCCTTTCTTAGCTTTTATATGCGGGAATGGTTTTGCTCCATGTTGGGGGTCTGTCATACGGTGATCTATAGTTTACATTTACGTTATTTGGTCTCTGGTAGATAGTTGTCTATTTTGGCAATCATACCGCATCTCCTTATTTTATATCATTTTCTAGAATAGAGAAATGTGTAGCGTAAAATTCTAAAAATAAACCAAACTAGAAATATGTGTACTTGACAATTAAAAAAAAGACTGAAACAAAAGCGTTTTCAATTTGATTATCTTTATATTTTTATTTTATCTAGAAAGGTCACTGACAATTTTATATAATGTTAAATGAATTAATTCTTATTCCCATAAAAAAATTTTGCCCTTACATTTTCCTTCTATCAACTTTTATCAGTTAGTTTTTCGGAAAAGAGAGGTTATCGAAATTTAAGTATTAAAAGACTAAAACGTTTGGACATTATCAAGCATGTTAAATTTACGTTTCGGTGAAGGGTCTGAAGTTTTGTTGTTTTTTTTTTTTTTTTTTGCTTGTTACCACGGCTTCCTCCACCAACAAAACAGAACACCACGATTAAATTGAGATATTGTTGAAAGTGGCGTTAAACTTTCATATGGAGAAGTTAATGTTAGTATCTTTGGGTCAGGAGGTTATTTTGTAAATGGCATATTCATTTCCACCTCTTTCAAAACAAAGTCTGCTAAATTATATGTCGTGCCTTTTTTTTTTTTCGATTTCCTTCATTTTGTTTTGCCTAAGATTCACTATACACTCCGCTTTCTAAATTGGACGGTATATAGTGATGGGTAAATTGGTCCATCCGTCCGTTTCATCGTCCCTCTGTCCATTCATTGCATTCATACCTAGAAAATAGTAGACAATACGAATCACATATAGCTCATGGAAAGTGGTTTTCTTGAACATTAAAACGATGCGCAGTAAGACAACCTTCTGTAGCCCCCTGCTTCTTAAAGTTTTATATAGAAATAGCACTGTATCCACTTGTGTCCACTTTTTATTTTATTTTTTATATATAGATATAACGATGTGTTCAGATTAGTACTGATTTGTTTAAGCCACACATATATACGCGTCCCTGTATCCCTGGACACAAAATGCATGCTAACTATATTTTGCAACGAAAATAGGACACATCTATTGTGGAGAGACAAACTAAATTATTTAACTATTAAACATATTCTGATCATATCGCTTAATATATATATTTGGACTTGTGGCCGTAAAATCCGTCATTCCCATTCTTGACACTTACATATATTTTTGTTAAGTTTTGTTTTGCACTCTTAAATCAAACAAATACAAATTAATGTATGAATGTATGAAGATCTACGTAAGGCCAATGCACGTCTAAAAATTTGGAGTCGACGTTAACTGTTCGCTTCATGTTGTATCAAACACGCCACAAACGTAAACTATTATACTACGCCAGGATACTTTTCAGTGCAATTGCATTTTGAGAAAGTCCACACTTAAATCTTGTATGGTATTGGTATTTAACATCAGCGCAGTATTTAAACCCCTTTCCTAACACGTCTAATAATTCCACGAAAGTTAAATTGTTTCATGCAAATAATATGTGTTTCCCTGTACAATTATTATGCTCGTTTTTATTTATATGAAATGGATGTGTATGTATGTCAAAATAAACGTGGACCAGGATGTGTAGGCATGTCAACATATACAGGAACAAGATGTAAAGGTATGGCAACATACACAGGAACAAGATGTGAAGGTATGTCAACATACACAGAAACAAGATGTGAAGCTATCGCAACATATACAGGAAGAGGATGTGAAGGTATGGCGACATACACAGGAACAAGATTTGAAGGTATGGCAACATACACAGGAACAAGAGTATGGCGACATACATAGGAACAAGATGTGAAGGTATGGCGGCATACACAGGAACAGGACGTGAAGGTATGTTGACATACACAGGAACAAGATATGAAAGTATGGAAACATATACAGGAACAAGATTTGAAGGTATGGAAACACACACAGGAACAGAATGTGAAGGTATGTCGACATACAAAGGATCAAGATGTGTAGGTATGGCAACATACACAAGAACAGGATGTGAAGGTATGTCGACATTACACAAGAACAAGGTGAAAAAGTAAGACAACATACACAAGAACAGGGTGTGAAGGTATGTCGACATACACAGGAGCAAGATGTGTAGGTATAGCAACATACACAAGAACATGATGTAAAGGTTTGTCGACATACACAGGAACAAGATGTGAAGGTATGGCAACACACACAAGAACAGGATGTGAAGGTATGTCGACATACAAAGAAACAAGATGTGAAGGTATGTCAACATACACAAGAACAGCATGTGATGGTATGTCAACATACACAGGAACAAGATGTGAAGGTATGGCAACATACACAAGAACAAGGTGAAAAGTAAGACAACATACACAAGAACAGGATGTGAAGGTATGTCGACATACCAAGAAACAAGATGTGAAGGTATGGCAACATACACAAGAACATGATGTAAAGGTTTGTCGACATACACAGGAACAAGATGTGAAGGTATGGCAACACACACAAGAACAGGATGTGAAGGTATGTCGACATACAAAGAAACAAGATGTGAAGGTACGTCAACATACACAAGAACAGGATGTGAAGGTATGTCAACATACACAGGAACAAGATGTGAAGGTATGGCAACATACAAAAGAACAAGATCTGAAGGTATGTCGACATACAAAGGACGAAGAAGTGTAGTTATGGCAACATACACAAGAACAGGATGTGAAGGTATATCGACATAAACTGGAACAAGATGTGTAGGCAATGCAACATACACAGGAACAAGATATTTAGGTATGTCGACAAACACAGGAATAGGATGTGTAGGTATGTTAACATACACAGGAACAAGATATGTATGTATGTCAACATACACAGGAACAAGATGTGTTGGTATATCAACGTACATAGGAACAAAAATTTGTAAGTATGTCAACATACACATGCAGGATTAAAACGTGTAGGTATATCAACATACAAAGGAACAAGATGTGCAGGTA